GTTTAGTTGAGTTTATAAATCCACTATAAAGTTGAATAATTACAATTATCTATCCCACGAATATCACAGTTACGTACGGACCACTAATCGATGTCGCAGTGTGCCGTATTTGTAATATAAAATGTAAACTTGTATGTGACCTGGTAGAGATATTTTATGTGATGTCGCATTTCATGTCTGAACGATGTTTCAATAATGTTCCTTGAGTCGGACATTTTCACATCGTCACGATTTCGCGTATACATCATTCATACATCTCTTGGTTGGCTGGCGTGCCATACTCGAGTAGGTGGGGCAACGACGCTTACCCATTACAAGGTTTCTCTATAGGAAAATTATGTTTGTCAAGCGTGTATAAGTAGGTTGGTATAAGAATACTTATAGTCTGTCTACGATAAGTACGCATAGTCTATGGATCTCGAAAAGGGTACAACGGATAAAAGTTTGTATACCTTTGATTTAGAAAAATTCAAGGTAGATTAATATCCGCGATATGTTTAGATATTCGAGAAAACAGAAATCTCAATAATTACTCAGATTATTTCGCGAAATTTTCAATTCAGTAGGATGGTTACAAATTTGAGACCAATCAAAATGTGCAAAAGTTGCCCTTGGGTTGTTACTCATCGGTATGCATTCTGTATAATTCTGTTTTGTGCACTGAAGGTCACGGGTTCGAATCCTACTACCCATCTACTTTTTTATCGAATTGGTTGATTGAAAAAAGCACATTGGTGGACATGCTAACAAATTAAGATAATTCCAGTCTTCGATATATCAATATTAGAGTTTTCCATGCTTGTGTATCATACTGAGGAAGATATGATAATGTGGAGGTGGGTTGCCATATTTTCACTTCATGCGGACAGTAAACCTTTCACAAAAACTCCAAAGTTATGTTATACAGGGTGTATTCGAATAGCACCGAAGAAATTCAAGGGGTATTTCCTTGTGACATTCTAGCAAATAAAGTTCATATAAACATGTGTCCTAGCTTGCTCCGTTTTTGAGATACAGGATGTTAAAGTTGGAAGTATTAATTGTTTTCATTTAGCTGGGCTGGTGGCCGTGAGCGTAGAGTCGCTGGCTGTTGCCCAGGCGGTCCGGGTTCGATCCCCGGCGCGAGCACTGAATTAATTTTCGGTAGTTTCGTTGGGCGGGAGGAGATAGGTGGCCAACCCAACATTCTTGGTACCTAGATATCAATCCTTTGGACTGTCCACGGTTACCAGCCGAGTAGTGCTTCGGATGACACTTAAAAAGCTAAGGTCCCCGTCTTCTTAACTCACACAAGTCTCTGACTTTCGAGGGTTGCTTTGCAACTAAGCTGGCGGTTAAAAACACTTTTAAACACTTTTTTTTTTTAAACCCCCCTGTATAAGCTTTCATGGTGCCGAAATTCAGTATGGATGGAGACTGAGACGGCCCCAAAATTTCAGAATGATTCTAATTGGGGCTATTGAGTAATCTCAATGGAAGTCTTGAAAAACCTACATTAAAATTTCTAGTCAAATCGAATTTTTATTGTTTCCTCAAAAACTAAGCTAGGTACAAAAATCATACAGACGATAAAAAAAGTTGTTATTTCAATAGTTAACAATATTAAACTTAGAAAAACCGGTGGCGTACAATGACATTCACCATGAATATCGAGAAATTTTCCCACTGTGACGCTACTGGAAATATTATTTCGAATCTATTTGCACTAGAAGAAGCTCCATATTACTATTAACAAAACCACAACGTTTTATTGAAATTGAAGAAAAGACAATTGAGAAATGAATAGAAAAAATATTTTTCATGGAAATATTAATACCCTGTAATAATAATAAATAATAATAATAATCCGTCTTTGTTTCCTCAAAAGAATATTACATAGTAACATGAGGCATAGGTGATATGTGCATCAGGCGAAGTTTAGCTAGGAAGCTATTCTTCATACTTAACCTGTGCTCGACTTATAACCTAATCCTAATACTAATCCTAAAAACCTAAATCTAGCTTGACATCTACATTTTCACTCATTGTCTCACATGTAAAGTATGATTCAACAAATTGCTCTTGATTTTTTTACGGAATTGCGTCGATGGTGATTGTTTGAATTCTATTGGTAATGAATTATACAGTATAACCGAGTTGTATGTGAAGCTTCTTTCAAACAGAGACGTGGTATGATGAGGCATTGTTAATTTTAGCTGATGTCTAACATTTATATTATGGACATTTTGTCTGAAAATGAGTTTTTCTCTAAGATAAGCTGGAGTTGGATCCTTAAGCAACTTGTGAATGAAATTAAAGAAATAATATTTTGAGGAATTGCTCATATCTAACCACTGTACTTATCTTGAAAAAGAAACAAGTTAGGACACATGTTTATATGAACTTTATTTCCTAAAATATCACAAGGAATCACCCCTTGAATTTTTTCGGTGTTATTTAGATACCCTGTATATGAAATTTTTCAAATACCTACCAATAGTAATCTAGTGGTAGTAGGATAGTAGTGGTAATAGTGGTAGTAGTAGTAGTAGTAATAGTAGTAATAGTAGTTGAAGTAATTCAACACGGATATCAATCATATCTTATGTTTCTCTATCATGCAAAAATATTCTAGTATTTTTCGTCTAATATTTTTTGACTCCAAATTTCTAGAGACCTCCTGATGCCTACAGAGAAGTTGACTAGCACTCCTCTTACTTTGAAAGAGACTCCCAATGAAGGCGTTACGGTACCAGGTAAACTTTATATTTGTAATAATGTGATATTCGGGAAAATAAATTCCATTGAATAAAAAATCCAACTATGTTGTAGATGATTAGCTAATCGTGATGTATCAGTTCTATTATAAGAAAAGAAAAAGAGGTTCTAGAATGGAATTGAGTAAGCTTCATTCCAAGCAAAATTTGTAAACTATAGGGATGACTAACGACCTCGTTGTTACCGTCTTACAATTGGTAGAGATTTTTTCTCGATGCTTGGATTCTTATTAAAATTCTGATTACTTTTACTGCGCTCTGCTTTGTTTCCATAGGCTACTTATTTAAATTGTGACAACTGCTAATTTTTTATAATACTTTTTTCAAAAATTTGCTTGATATTCTTCAACAGATACAATTTTTATTCTGTTTATTTGTTGAGAAGAAGCAGCTCTTTTAAACTATTCCAAAATATAATTATATTCCGTGATATAATTCCAGATATTGAAAAACATAAACATTTGGCTATAATGCCATCTAAGAACATATTCTCCGATTTTTTGTTGTTTTCCTTTTAATTTCAATGGAGCTGAGACATCACATTCATATATACAGGGTATGTCACGACGAGCTTACACTATCTTCATATCGAGAATCAGTCGGGAGAAATCTATGAAATGCAGTGTTGCCGCTTCTCCTAGAAAGTAGTAGCAACATTGATATTTCAAATAGAACACCCTGTATTTTATCGCATTTTTAGATTCTCCCTGAAGACACTTGGGGTCTATAAAAAATGATTACAGAGATGTAGGGTGTTCAAAATCGGGTTATTTCAACTTTAGGATTTTTTTGTGTCGAAACTATTCATTATCAGTCAAAACGGCTCACATGTCCCTATCTCAACTTTTGATTCACTATTTACTGATATTTAATCGGAAAAGATACAGGGTGATCAGAATTCTGAATCTTGAACCAGTAAATCTTAAGTTGAGATAGGGACATGTTAGCCGTTTTGGTCGATAATGAATAGTTTCGACACAAACAAATCCTGAAGTTGTAAAATCTCGATTTTGAACACCCTATATCTCTGTAATCATTCCCGATAGACCCCAAGTGTGATGTATCGATGAAATCAGCTCTTCAGGGAGAATCTAAAAATGAAATAAAATACAGGGTATTCTATTTGAAATAACAAAGTTGTTGCTACTTTTTGATACAACCGGCAACAATGCATTGCTGAACATATTTTAATTGAAGAGATATAAGATATAAGCATGCATATTTTCATGGATTTCTCCCTGTGATTTCTCCCGACTGGTTCTCGATATAGAGATAGTGTAAGCTCGTCGTGACATACCCTGTATATTTACAGGACTCACGTCACATGCAGTACACAACGCAGTGGAGTGTGAACACTTTTTGAACTTTGGTTCGAAAAATAGAATGATTGGAGCAACTCTGATGAATCAGAACAGTTCGAGATCACACAGCATATTCACTATCAGTATAGAACAAATAAGTAGTGTGAATAATAATGAAAATATCAAAAAAGGTAAGTGAACCTCTCTCAAACACCGCACTTGATTGTTCAATCTATTGAAATTCAATTATTTTTTACAAATTTCCAACATTCAAATTTTCATTCCTCTGTATAGTTTATGAGAATTTCTTTAATGAGACACCCAGTATAAAATATTCTTAATTGATAGAAAATTCGATTCTGAATAAAAACTGCCCCATAAAGTTTCATCGTAAATTCAAAAATGACTGAGCTATCGACGATTCTTTTCGCTTTGTAGTAAGGAAAACAAAAGTAATACCTCTCGATCATGTCTAACACAATCACTTTGACGAAAAAGGTTTCAGGTTCACACAAGATAGTAGGTTCGCATGTCCATCGGAGCAAGCATTTTTAAATTTCCTTGCTTCTCCTTCAATATACTAGGAATATTCTAAGAATATTTGAAACAGTCCATTCCGAATGTTCATAAAACATGCCTAGAATATTTTAATTATATTGTGAGATTATTCTGAGAATATTCAAATCTTCTCGAAGAATATCCTATGAACATTCTATGAATGACATTGTGCTATCTGGGAAATAACTAATCGTTATCGTTTAGAGTACCGAACCTTTAATACTACTCAGGTATTTAATTTTGTGATTTTTAATGTTTTAAGGTAAACTGAACTTGGTAGATTTAGCTGGTTCAGAGAGACAGACGAAAACTGGTGCAACCGGAGAAAGACTGAAAGAAGCTACAAAAATCAACTTATCACTAAGTGCCTTGGGTAATGTCATTTCGGCATTGGTCGATGGAAAAGCTAAACATATTCCATACCGGGATTCTAAACTAACAAGACTACTTCAAGTGAGTAATAATACTCATAACATTTTGAAAAATCTCACTCAACACTCACTTTATACGATACATGACCTACAAAATTTGAAGTAAATAGTAGGGAAGCCCAAGCGGGGATTTCTGGATTTACTCGAGCGCGGCAGATTATCATTAAGTGGGTATCCTTGTACCTTGTGAAGTACTCCCACCATACCTGGGCCCTTTATATGGTGTCGAAAGTTTAGGGCAGCCGATCAGATTAGTAACCGTTGAGAGTCGAATGCCCGAAATCGTCTTCCGTCAACGCACTATCAGACGAATTTTGCTTGGTCTCAAAACGAATAAGGCTAACGGTCCTGATGGAATTCCACCCATTATCCTCAAAAAATGTGCACCAGAATTAACACCGATTCTCAGCAAGTTGTTTACCGTCTCGTACAGGTGGGGTATTTTTCCATCATGCTGGAAGACAGCTAGAGTTCCAACCAATCACCAATCCCCAAAAAAGGGAACAAGAACCTGCCCAACAACTACAGGCCCATTGCCCTGTTATCAATCATCTCCAAAGTGATGGATAAAGCCATCAACATTGAGCCTATCAAATATCTAAAGAGCTCAGGAATCATCAATGACAGACAATACGGCTTTCGCCACCGAAGATCTACTGAAGATCTACTTGCCTACGTCACCCATTTATGGCAAGCTTCATTAGAAAAACACGGGGAATCTCTGTTTGGCACGAAGAACTCCTCCACAAACTACCATCATACGGCTTACCACCTCAGCTATGCCATCTCTTATCGAGTTTTCTTTCAGGCAGATCGCTTCACGTGGTAGTGGACGGTGTATCGTCTGATACCATTGGCATCAATTTCGGTGTTCCACAAGGTTCAATTTTGGCACCAACATTATTCCTTCTTCATATCAATGATCTGTTGGGAGTAACAACTTGCCCCATCCACAGCTTTGCAGATGATAGTACCCTCCATACTGCATTCTCTTCCAGAATTTCCATTTCTTCCCAGAACATTAGGAACTCACGGCGCAGGCAGGTCAATGTTGTCAATGAAGACCTTGCTGAAATCACAGCCTGGGGAACCAACAACCTAGTTGAATTCAACGCCACCAAAACTCAAGCCTGTATTTTCTCTAGAAAGGCGGAACTCAGTATGCCCGACATTGTAATGTCTGGCACCACCATCCCCACCAAGCCCACTATATCTATGTGGGTGACGCCACACTCGCTCACTCTTTGACATCATTGGAACACCGTAGAAAGGTCGGCGACCTTTCACTTTTCTATCGATACTTCCACGGGAAATGTTCTTCGGAAATCTCTGCTATCATCCCTACACTAGCAATACCAGTCAGACGAACTAGACATTAATTACATGCAGAAAAGTGTGCATTTCAATAATATGACGATTTGAGCGTGACATACAGAAATGGTAGAGCCACAAAGTTGCAAAAAAAATCGTCACCTGTACAGTCTCGAGAGCGGTTAATTTTGTTCTTATTTTGAAGGCAATTAGTCACGGATAACGGAAATAGCATAATCTGGCAATTTGCACAAGCCGAAGTAGCGAAAATCATCAATTAAGTGCAGTGCTTGCAACCACTGGGAACTATGTATGTAATTGTGGTAACGTAGGAAACTGAAAAAAAAGTATCACTTCGTATATTGTTATCAATGCTTGAACCCTGTATAAATATTTCAGAAAGGTACTGCTCATGAGACTAGACCATCTTAAGAATTTTTGTTCATCTATCTCAAACAGCAAAGCCATTATCTCACTTTGACACACTATTGGTCCACCCTGTATGTATACATGAGCCTTCCATCTCAAAATTGTGAACTCTTCGAGCTGTTGAAGTCCTGCTACAAAAAACTTACCCATCCTGTATATTTTATATTTTAGTTATTACATTCAGTTAACAAAAAAAAATCCAACCGTCAGATTAAGGTAATTCCTCTACATAATTGTCAGATTATGGGTCGATACGACAAGGACATTAAGATGAAGCGTCTGTATAACAATCTGACGCGCTCGAGTATTTCAAGGTCACGATTTTTTTTTTAATTTTCAAAAATTGATCATTACTTTTGTTAGCGTCCAAATCGTTGGTTATCAGAAACACGTGGGGCGCATACACTATTAGTATCTGATGCGCTCGAGTATTTCTATATGACTGTTTTTTACAAGTTTGAAGACCTGTACACGCTCTCCCCACCAGTGAAAGGTCATATATCATATAAACTTTTTTTCATTTTCGCATCTAATCTCCACAATCTGATACGTCCCCACGACGCTCCAATAAATCCCTATTTAGCCTCTTTGCCTCCCCAACTATAAATAGTCTGAGCCACATGAATTATATGTACAGTCGTCTTTAGAGAACATGTCGCACATGTACGGTGTCAGCTCTCTTGATCACCGCTGCGATTAGAGCGCTCACACCGTCCAAATGCGACATGTTCACTGAAGACGAGTGTACCTACTTACATTTTCAATCTCATTATCAAAATTTCATTTTCAGGATTCTCTAGGAGGTAATACAAGAACTTTAATGATCGCATGTATTAGTCCTTCAGATAGAGACTATATGGAAACTTTGTCTACACTGCGATACGCCAATAGAGCAAAAAATATACACAATAAACCGAAAGTTAATGAGGTAAAAGTCGAAAAACAACAATGATTTTTATTTATTTTGAAACTGTGGAGTTCTGAGCACAACTGTTTAGTGAAATAAATAATTTTGTTTTAGGATCCGAAGGATACAATTTTACGTCAGTACCAAGAAGAGATCCAAAGACTGAGAGACCTCTTACAAACCAAACAAACTAACAGTTTACGAATTGAAGATCTGACGAACACCTCTGAAGAAGAAATAATCGAAACTATACCTAGCAGTTTCACCACCACTGATTTAGATGCCAAACGAGACAAGTTACTGAAAGAATATCAGGACGAAATGAGGAAGCTTAAAAACCTCCATCAGAACGAGAAGAACGAGAAAGAAAAAGTAATGCAGCAAATACAGGCGATTAAACTAGACTACGAGAAGAACATACAGCAGCTCAATAAAGAAATCAACTTCAAACAGAAAAAGGAACTCTGCTCTGAAGACGAGATTGTGAACCGAATAGAAGCACTCAAAGCCTCGATTATCGGAGGGGAGAGAGCAAATGATCAGGAGTTGTCAGAAAGACGCAAAAAGAAAAAATTAGCTGCAGAAAGACGAGCCAGGTAATTGCAAGTTTTCTGGTTACGAACCATAATACAGGGTGTCCCAAAATTGCTGGGACACAGAGCTACCACATGTATAGGTCAAAATAAGTTGATTGGACCCAATTTATTTATGTGCCAAAATGTACCGTTTGTCCGTGAGAAGGGTTCAAAGTTCACATAGAAAAACACATTTTTGTACGCTGATCAGAAACAGGTGGAACGAATCTGATGAAATTTTGGCAATCGTGTATGTCAGAGGTTAAATTTCCTTTTGGTAATCGAAGAAACCTGAAAGAAATTGTAGAAGGGTTAAAACCACACTCACCCCCTGACATTTTTTTCAGAACATTTTTAGGGATCATAATATGGTTCTGAAATTTTTGAGCTCAAAGACTAATCAATTACATTTATTTTAATGCTCTTGTAAAAATTTCCTATACCAGTTTCGAAAAAAAAAAGTTCTCTCAAATAATGCTACCAGATCATAGATTTTGATGAAATTGTGATATAAAACTTAGTTGGCAGTGGAAACAAAAGCAGAACGTTTCTTCATAATAAATGTTCAATATGACGCCCACCTTCATCAAAACAAATATCAATTCGACGTAAAAAATTGAAATGCACCCTCCTTATTAGGACATCGTCGTTGTCTCGTAGTGCGTCAACAGAATTTTGGATTCTGTTCCACAGTTGTTCGAAAGTATCAATTTGAACTTCATACACTTGTGTTTTTAACGCTCACCAGATGAAGAAGTCGCACGAATTCAAATCTGGAGACCACGGAGGCCATTGAATAGGTGCTTCGTGTCCCCTACCAATCCATCTATCAGGAAATTGTTCGTTCAGATATTGTCTTGGTGTCTGAGGAATTCATTGAAACATTTACAGACAACGTCAACAACAAACTTGAATGACAATAAATTTTTTTCCTGTCAAAATCACGACTTGCCTTCGTTTCCACTGCCAACTAAGTTTTATATCTGTTTGGGCGAGAGAGAAGCTAAGCAGACTGTAGTAAATTGTACCAGTTTGTACTATTGTGAAAACTAAATATTTTTCGGCAACGACAAGATTCACTCACCACTGTTTCGATGGCCGGCGAAGGACCGCTGCGCCGGTAACTCTGAAGACGGCCGTCTGTTGATCGGATCACTTATTGAGGAGAATAATAAGGCACTCGCAACACTAAATGCACCTGAGTTCGAGTTGCAATGCCCAATAGCTTAGGACACTGCTGTTTTTGGGTTGCTTCTCGGAATAATCGACAGAGAGATCAAAAAATAATTATGAGTACTTGGTCTCGTGTGTGTCTGTTTTCTTGCCACCCACACTCTGTCCTAAAGGTGCGCAGAAACCTGTCGTTTCATTAGTTTTGGCGCGATAATTATTATTTATTATACAGGGAGGTGAGCCTCTCTCAAGCTATACAAACATTGATCTCGATCTCCTTGATCTCAAGTAAATAAAGTTCTAACTTTTCCGCGAGGACGGAACAATATCACAATGATTGACGACATGATTCGATCGAAAAATTAACTGGAATGTTTTATTTTTGGTCATAAATAATAGTACCTTCTGAAAACGGACCCTCTTATGACGTAGAAACCTCATCTCGCCATAGTTAAAACTGACACTTATCACTGTTGCCATATCATCCTAACAAAATATCCGAGAGATCGAAATCGATATTGAAATATCTTTTGATATCTACTACCACTACTGCAGAAAAATATATTCAAGTTGTCGATTGTAGGTTGAATCATTGAAATATAAACAATCTCTAGACAACGAAATGTCTTAATCTCAAAACCATTTGCACCATTACAATTTCACAATAATCCAATATATTTCATAAACGCAGCAACATTGCTTTGTTGACCCGTTTTACATGGAGCTGCAGAAAAATAATATAGGTTAGAATTGATCTTCTTCTTGTTCTTATTATCTTTGTCCCAAGAATCAACTTGCCGATTCACCAATCTTGGTGCTTTTTCAGAAATCATGTATCATTCATTTCTGTCTGGAATAGTCTTGTTTCAGTATTAGGGTTTTGACAAACGATGCAACTTTGTACTGGGGTAATTTTACTTAAATCGACTTATTTTGGTCTAAGGAATATGTGGTATGTTTTTGTAGAGACCTTTTACAGACACCCTGTATATCTTTACTCTTCAATGATTGAGTACTGTATTTCAGCGTGATAGCTCATTTATTGGCGAAAATTGATATGAACGAAGATAGAGAACTATTGCACAACCAATACAAGGACATCAGCCAGGAACTGAATACCAAAACCGAGGCCTTGCGAAAATACAGACACAAAGTGAAATCTCTAGAGAAGGAGATAAAAGATATACACAGTGAGTTCGAGGTTGAAAGGGAAGATTACCTAGAAACAATACGGAAGCAAGATAGAAATTTGAAGTTCTTGACCCAAGTTTCAGAGAAAATTGCTGGAACACTCAAAAAAGATTGTAATTATAGGTAAGATTCTTTCATACTCACTCACTGATTAATCAGAACAAAACTTATAAAGGGAAAAAGAATGTTCGATCGTTTTGACAACCCATGATCTGGAAAGAGCCTAAATTTTACGAAGGATTCCTATAACGTGATATGTTGAGGTTCGTGTTATTTGTCTGATCTCAACCGATTGCGCTGTAGTTATTAAATAGTAGATCCACAAAAATGCTGCGATTATCCCGAATACTGTCAAGTTTTGGGATTGATAACAATTATAACTTATTTTTGTTAAAGTGATGTGACTTCTATATTCTTCGATGAAAATAGCGCTAACTTGAGGGACAAAACACAAAAAAGGGTTATGTGGCGCCATCTAGAAAATACATTTGAGTCACGATGTATATGGCAACTTGAGATTTCTCATGCCCAAAAACACCTAGTTTGAAAGCTATCATGTATCCCATGTCCAAAAACTTCGAAGTAATTGCGAAAAAACAATTATGGGTGACCCGTGAAGACCACGTCAAACCTAGGGGGAATGTATATCAAGAACAAATACGCAACACCCATACGTGATGAAGCCGAATTGAGAGAACACATCCGAATTGCTGCAGCGGAAATATCCGACATCCATTAGAGGGCAGTGAAATAGTATATCGGGTGGTCACAAAAAACCGGAAGTTTTTATTTTCCTCGTGGTTTTATCATTTCTCAACCGAATTCGAATTTCTTGGCGTCATTTCATAGCTAAAGGGCTATAGTATACAGTGAAATATTTGAAAATTTCATGATGAACAAAAACAAAATGTCGGATTCTACCAAAGTATTGTCATTTACAAAAACCGCTGGAGAAAAATAAAATCAGATTTTTTTCAACCTGTACCGATGTCATCTTAGGCTATTCATTTCTGAAGAGAATGAGTACTCGAACATCGAAATCGAACAAAATAGTCCAGTAGATACACTCATTTCTTTGCAATTTGTTATGGAGTGAATGTGCTAATCTCGTATAAACGATTATTATTATTTTGCTTTAGGCTTCATGAAAATTCAATCGAATTTGGATTTCTTAGAGTTATTTCAAAGATAAAGAACTGTAGTACACAATGGAACATTTGAAAATCCAATAATTGAAAGAAACAAAATGGTGGAGAATCCAGAATTTTTGTGATTTTCGAAAATATCTGGCGAATAAAAAAATGTTCATTCTTTCAATCAGGACCGATACAATTTGAGATCATTGATTTCCCAAAAGAATGAGCACTCGAACATCTGAATCGAACAATTATTAGCCCAGGAGAAACTCGTTCTTTTTGGCAGTGTTATGGAGTGAATGTGCCAATCCCGTGATAAGAATAATTACTTTTAGTTTGCTTCTGGCTTCATCAGAATTCAATCGAATTTGGATTTCTTGATACCATTCCAGAGCTGAATTGCTGTAGTACACCAGTGGAACATCTGAAAATTTCATAAAAAAAAAAACGAAATGGTGAAGTAATCCTAACTTCCGTGATTTACAGACGGAAACTATTCAATAAATTTCAGCAACGTTGCTTTCTTTGATTCTTGTTTTTTTCGCTAACATAAAAAGTGTACGATCTCTTCAAAGTTTCAAGACTAAAATCTAATCTTTTTTAATAATATCCTTAACTGTTCTCCCTTTCATGCCTGTTCGGTATGAAACTTAACATACTATTAGAAATCAATGATCGAAAATTGTATCGGTCCCGATTGGAAGAATGAACACTTTTTTATTCGCCAGAGATTTTTGAAAATCACAAAAATTCTGGATTCTCCACCATTTTGTTTCTTTCAATTATTGGATTTTCAAATGTTCCATTGCGTACTCCAGTTCTTTATCTTTGAAATAACTCTAAGAAATCCAAATTCGATTGAATTTTCATGAAGCCTGAAGCAAAATGATAATAATTGTTTATACGAGATTAGCACATTCACTCCATAACAAATTGCAAGGAAATGAGTGTATATCTACTGGACTATTTGTTCGATTTCCATGTTCGAGTACTCATTCTCTTCTGAAATGAATAGCCTAAGATGACATCGGTACAAGTTGAAAAAAATCTAATTTTATTTTTTTCCTGCGGTTTTCGTAAATGACAATACTTTGGTAGAATCCGCCATTCTGTTTTTGTCCATCATGAAATTTTCAAATATTTCACTGTATACTATAGCCCTTTCGCTATGAAACGACGTCAAGAAATTCGAATTCGGTTGAGAAATGATGAAACCACGAGGAAAATAAAAACTTCAGGTTTTTTTGTGACCACCCGATATTGTGCAACAAGAGGGAAAAGTTCAACTTTTCTCACAAGTGTGAAAGTTTGTGGCACGAGGATGAAGGGCGAGTGATGAAAACACACGAGTGAGAAAAGTGTTTTTCCCCACATGTTGCACACTATACTTTTTCTACAACTGCACTTATTCAAAGAATCCGAGTAATGTAGCTCATTGGTATTCATTTTATAATGTGGCACTATGCCAAATTGAATATTGTGACCAAACAGTAGAAGCCTTTCCTAGTTCCTCAAAGTATTTCAAAAAAGTACACTTTCCGAAAAAGATTCTATTTCTGTATTTTTTTAGATTCCATAAATTTTCCGTTTATGCCAATTCATACTATTATCTTGAAATTTTCGGAAACAAATCCAACTTTCGCAGCTTCTTCCATTATCTCTGTCTCTGGCGGTGTATTTATCAAAATCGTCACATCTCGGTATATATACATCATATTATTTATTATGAATTGTTGGAATAATATTTGATAGAAAATGCGATTTCTATCAAAATCACTAATGAGAACTACCCTAAAGAATTTGAAAAACGTCTTCTCACAGTTGTGACAACTATTCAAAGCTGAACAGCAGCCAAGTTTTGGTCGATTTTTGTTGATTCTCCATGGAAATATATGTGGTGTTGGCAAAGTGCCGTGAGAAAAAATATTTCTCACAGTATCAAACTAAGTTAGCTATGAGAAATGCGCTACTTTTCATAGCAGTAGTAGAAAAAGGTATTTTCTCAGTCGATGCAGAGCCTGAATACGCGAAGGAGGTCGTCATTTTGAACTTTTTCTGTAATGATCGTAAATGCATTTCATGTCATTAAAAATATCAGTACCTACCCTAAATAATAACAGTGAAATTATAGTCAGAAACGTACCCTGTTGGATAGAAACAGCCATATCTTTTTTCTTCGAATAACAAATGACTTGTGTTATACTTTTTTAAAATCACTATAAAATAGACAATGTATTGGTACATTTTGGTTCCACTAAGATAAAGATAAAGAGTTGTATAACTTGGCAACCGTGGAGTCAAATAATATAGAAAACAAAAACAACAGTTTCGTAGCAATTTTGATGGTGCATTCGAAAATTCAGTTGAAAACAGTCCCATTTGAAAGAAACTCATCATCAGCCGAAATCTTGGGATTCAAAAACCCTATAGATATAAAAATAATTCAAGGTGATAGTTCTCATGAAACTCAATCAGTCGAATCTACAAAATCAATCCGGAACCTCGAATTCAAACTTGCATGGCTTTCGTCACAGCAAGACATGCACAAACAATTATAACATTTTATCTGTTGATCAATTGTTTTATAAAACATCAACAATATACATAAGAAAACATTCACAAAACGATAATCATGTAAAACATAAATATGACATACAGTGTGACCCACTTCTAATGGAAATACCCCTGTATCTTACGTAATCGTTGGGTAAGGATCATGAAATTTGCTGGAGCGAGAGATATACCAAAAATGCACTCTATGACCAAGTGGGGTCCTCTTCAGTGCTATACACTGCTCGCCAACAGCCATGGAACCACCCCAATTTCCGGAAAATTATATTAGAAGTCAAAATAGTTTGAAAATTACATCGAATTTGGAATCAGGACGCCCAATTCACTAACTATTCATAGTTTAGTTCAGAAAAATCAAATTTTGTCTCACTTCTCATGGAAGCACCCCCGTATCTCACGTAATTATTGAGGTAGGGTTCTGAAATTTGCAGGAGGAAGAGAAAGTCCAAAGATAAAGTCAATTACATAAGATACGGGGGTGCTTCCGTAAAAAGTGCGACAAAATTTAATTTTTCAGAACTTTCAGAATATGAATAGTTAGAGAATTGGGCGTCCTCATTCCGAATCTGAAGTGATTTTTGACCTAATTTGCCTCCTAATATCATTTTTCGGAAATTGGGGTGGTTCCATGGCTGCTAGCGGGCAGTGTATATCACTGAAGATGACCTCACTTGGTCATAGAGAGCATTTTTGGTATATCTCTCGCTCCAGCAAATTTCAGGATCCTTACCCAACGATTACGTAAGATACAGGAGTGTTTCCATTCGAAGTGGGTCACACTGTATAAGATATATTTTGATTTTACGCAACCCTCACGTACAAAAAAGTTAATTTTGATCAGTGCTGGATTCCTGCTCTTTCCAGCAGCTTTCCAAAGTAGGGTCACGAACCATAGCATTTGAAAAAAACATATTGAGGGTGGTTTCAACAAGCCCTGAAGGCACGTAAATACATTAAAAAGTATGTCGGTAATTTTCAGAAAAAATATTCATCTCCCCGCTGGAAAAATTATTCCAGTTAAAGTCTCCACACTGTATACAGGAATATTGACAACAAGAGGGGCCTAACTCTCTTCATTGAATCAGCTGTACGAATTATTTCTATACATTTTGATAATATGCCATTATTTCATTTGTAATATAATTGAAATTTGTCTTCAATCAGTGACTTGGAGTTGATCAAAGAACAAGCAGTTTGGCTGGAGGACTCCCAGAAATACAAACTACCCGAGCTCATCATG